GAGCTTCCAAACTAAGACAGGCTGGGAAGAAGGATGGGGCCATCCACTTCTTAAAAAACTGGCCAGTGAGAACTTTATGAATAGCAGTGAAACGGTGTCTGATATATTACTAGAAAACTGGTTTGACAGGGATGGACAATTAAGAAATTGGCTACGTAAAATGAAGGAGGTAAAGGCGTGAGGCAGCTGGATCACACACTTTCCAGAGTGTGCTTACACTCACAATGAGGGGGACATCACAATGAGGGGGACATCGGCGGATCCCCACTGAACAGATTCCTCCTTTCCTGAGAGGTGTGGGGAAGAGAGGGTGGGGAAGATGCTGATGGGGTTATATGATTCAGTTGTGTTGACTGTTAACAGGGTTAATTGCAATGGTAAAAACTGTAATTGTAGACACCGTAAGCATGGAGGGGTGCACTGCTGGACTGGAGTACAGAGGCCAAACCTAAGGTTCCTTAAAGGCTTTGCTATGCTGTTAACTTGTGAGGCTCAGAGCAAAAGAATAATCTTCTCTCAGTTACATTTTTTTTTTAATTTATGATAATGAGGATGCTTATTGAGAGGTTACTGAGTTCAGGGAGAAGATGCAAGGGGAGATCCCGACTCAGGCTCCAGCTCCTCTGAGCCCTCCTGGGTGGGGGGAGGTCAGGTCCTAAGCACACTCTGCTGGACCCACCTTCTCAACGGTGCTCCTCTTGTGTGTGATCTGGCAGCTGCAGCTGCTGCGAAACTTCCATGCGTCGGACATCAGGGTCGGGTAACTGCTGGCTGTGTACTTGCTGTTGCTCTATTTGGAGGGCTTGGTGGTCTCCAAGTCCTAGGTGATAGCTGTGCCACCAGCCTTCCAGGCCACTATCACAGCACTCAGTTAGAGGTCACTAATGAGACACACTAGTGTGGCCTTATTGGCCTGGAGCTCCTCAGAGGCCGATGGAAACAGAGTGACCAAGGGTGAGGCCTTGGGCTGACCTGAAACTCCCCTTCCTTGGCCGGGTAGGATTCAACAATACCAAACAGG